GCAGCAAAGCCTTTGCTGAGCAGGTCAGAAGGAGCAGGCCATGCAGGTGGTGCAGGCCCAGCTGCCAGCAGAGGCTAAATTAGCTCAGCCACCCCCGACCCCTTCTCAGTTTCACCTCTGTAAATCCGGACTAAATCCTCCACCTGCAGTTGGAACCCAAATTTACCCTTCATGGTCTCTGAAGTCAAAAGCAAAACTGTTATTGATTGAGACGGCCCTTTCTGTGCTCTTCTACCCTCTGGTGGCGATGAGAGCATGAATCTTAGCCCCGTCCTGGTGCTACACAGGAATGCTCTAAGTATTTACCTATACATATGGGAATGTGCGCTACAGAAGGGAGCTTGCAGGTCATCCCTCAGCTAGCACAATTCGTAACCCAACAACTGAATGAAAACCTTTTCATTCTCCCTGCCTCTGTGCCATACTGCCTTTCCCCCAGGCTTCTTAAGCACCCAACTGGTAACTTCTACAAATTAACTGTTACAGACAGAAAAGGAAACATGGGAAAGCCATTGACAGCAAGGAAAACGTATAGCAACATTTGAGCTGGCTGTTGCACTAGCCAGATATTTCTCCCCAGCATTATTAGATGAGTCACAGAGATGGTAGCAGAGAATCTTGTTTGCTTACATAGATCTGCAAATTTGAGAGCTCGGGAGCTTCTGTACTAATGCAGAATTCGGAACTACTTGTCACAGTACACAATCTTATTTGAAAAGTAATGCTTTTAATTAGAGAAAGACTTAATTTCTACTTCAAAATTTGGTGGATTATTTTAATAAGAAATCAGGAATTACAAGCCGGAGTGTCAAGACCCCATTAATTAAATATTTGTATGCGCTTACATATAATTTAAAGACTGCCATTTATTTAATCTTAAAATTCAGAGTGAAGGAGTAAATTCACCACTGTTTGTTTAAATATAGCTACATTCACTGAGCTCGTACCTTAAGCCTCTGCTTAATCTGTTTTACAACTCAAAATAATTGCAAGCAGGGCAATATCTACTACCACATCCCTACGTTCTCTTTCAACAAACCGTTGATCATATGAAAAATGTGCCCATGCATTTGCAACATTTCTGTTTTTTTTTTTTTTTTTTTCAATGGCCGGCTGTACTGAGAGTTTGTTCAAGGATCAATGTGCATTTTATATAAATACAATTACAATTGTGAATATAATTCCCCAAAGCCCCAAATTAAATTCTCCTAATCCATCATCTCTTAGCGCTATTGAAATGAATGGAAATTTTGATATTGATTTCACTGAAAGCAGGTGCAATTCCTTTATGTACAAGTGCATTTCAGGCCGTTTTCTTGTCTGACATTTACAGGTATAAATCCAGAGTTACTCTACTGACACAATTTAATTTTCCACCAGAAAGATACATTATCTTCTAAGACTCCAACCCTCAACCTTAATTATGCATTCCTAAAACTATTTATTTTTCTTTAATACCATCTGAGTCCCATCCTGCCTTCCTGAAGTTAATTAAAACCATTTGAAAATACTCCCAGCTGTAATCCAAGGAGTGGCACCACTACTTAGTTTGATAGCTTCACACAGAGATGGACAAGGGACAATGCATCTACCTCGACCACAGCATACATTCTCTGCCTTAACCCTTGAATTAGGAATAATATCTATTCAGGAAAATATATATATATTATTGGATAAAAATATTATCCAATTCCTAGTTGGCTAGCAAATTTAAAAATACACTGATAATTACATAAAAATGAAAACAGTAAGCACTGTATTCAGTTGATGACTGGGAGCCATCAACTCTGCTAAAGAAAATGTCTAGTAAAGAGAATTAGTAACATCCTGTTTTGGGGGCTTGTAAAGGCAATCCAAGTAGTTGCTATTCCAAGCTGTCCTAACATGTATGTAAACATACCTTTAAATACACGTATATATTTTTAAATGTATACATGTGTAGTCATCTAGGGATGTCTTGTGTGTTGTGTGTATACACATGGGTGGCATAGTTTTGTACATGTGCACCAATACTCTATCCTCAACACTATCCCAAACCTGCTATACACATACAAGGTGTTATTTGGGGTGCTTTTCAGGAGGAGTGCCTCACAGACATTAGGCAACTTACATTTACTGCAAGATGTACCATCTCCATGACAGAGACACCAAGACAAAGCAGCACGCCAGAGGCCACGCTGTAGATGGAAAGGCTTTGGAGAGGAAAGGCTGACTCCCAGAAATTACTGTCCTTCTCCCCATGTCCAGATATCCAATCTGCTCTGCCTTAATTCCCGAAATGCTGAATGACCATGCTTCCTATTGATTTCATTTGCACCTGTGAGTTCTCAGCACTTTTGCACATTAGGCCTGAGGGGTCCAGAAGATGAGACAAACACAGACAGTAGCCACAGAAAGGTATTTTGGTTGAAGTGGCTTGCTCAGCAGCATGCACAGAACAGGGATAAAAGCAGCTGAACTGGGATAAAAGAGAATTCCTCTCATTCACCTGCCTTAACCACACGATGTTCACTTACAGCAATCCTCTTCTGCTGTTCTCTTCTACGTGTGCCTTCAGGTTTCTACAAAGGAACTGGAAACCCTACTAACACACACAAATACATACTTATATCTATGTACTAATATAAGAAAGATCTGGAAAGAGATTCAAGTGCTGTAATTAAGTATTACATCCTAATGAATATGCAGGAAGAGGTTGCATTAAGAGGTTACACTGATGACCATCATTCTGGCTTTTCCTAACTTGAGTGCTTGACTCCACAACTGAAGCAGCTTTTAACACAAGAAAACTGACATAAAAGGATAGGATTTTTTTTTTTGGTTGTTGTTTGTTTTGTTTTGTTTTGTTTGTTTTTCCCATTTTCTTTTTTTTTTCCCTCTCTCTTCAAGTGAGAACACGGGAAAACAGTTCCCCATGATCTATCATCACCTCACAACATAAGTAACTACATGCCTAAGAGAAGAGATTTTTGTCCTAACTGGAAGCGGGGCATTGATGTTATTTGTTGGTCTGATCACCAGTGCAGGTAAGACTACTTCCCTGAGAAATCCAGTCTAACCAAGACTCTTGCTCCCTCTTCCCTGCAGAGATCATGTCCCTGCCAGTACGAGATGCCGTAACTCCTGGCAGCACGCTGCACCAGGTTACGCTGTTTATGCTTTGACAAACTGCCAGCATTTTGCTAAGAAATCAAGTGCTAAAAGGGAAATTACAAAGTTTAGATCTCAGCCAGAACTGAACAGAATTTCACAAAATAATACATGCTTTTCTCTGGTTCTGGAGATTTTCTTCCCTGCCTAAGTCCAAGGGTTGTGGCAAACAACACAGACGCTTCAGCTTCTAAAAATAACATTGTCCAAGCTTCTGCAAGGGTAAACTCTAATAATGTGAAATAAATATGCTGTTACCAGAAAGCTTCTGATTTTCAACCAGAAAAATGACTGAAGAGTATCAAATATAAAATCTTTTGTACAAGGAAGAACACAGTTATCAATCTTTACAAGTACAGCACATAGTCCTACTTTTCCAAAACATGGTAGTGCGCAGGGGGAGGTTTTAGAAAGCTCATCTCACAAGGGATGCACTTCACCCAAAGCTTCTGATCCCTCTCCTAGGAAAAGGGCTGATTTGCATCAGTGACCGGTAATTCCCTACATCTCTGAAATGCCATGGGACAGCTGTCAAAATCAGGCACACTTTTTTGAAATTCAACACTAATAAGTTTTCAGGATTCTTAGGCATGGGAAATAATGAGTGTTAAGAGTTGAGCATCTCTGACTGGTACTGAAACTAGTATCAGCTGAATAGAATTAGCAGCTTCCAACACTAAGCAGGGTGGTTTTTTTAGGGCTTGGTTGTTAACACATCTATTGAGTGATTAAATGTTAATGGTAACTGAATCACAAAGTTAAAACAGAAATGCCGGATGCATACAGTAACAACAGCATTAAAAAATGCTTACATTACCAATTAAAGTCAATAGACATCCAGCAACATTTTAATAGCAGCTGGGAACTTTTCTGTATCTGTGCACCTTTGCATTACCTTTTGAATTACCAACTTGCAAACAGAATATAACAATTTTTTAAAATATTAACCCTTGCTTACATAGTATTTTGAAAATTTGAAAATTGTATTCAGTATCTTAAAACAATGGCTAGAGGTACTCTCAATCACCCACTGAAGTAGTCTAACCATCTCATCGGTTCTGCCAAGCCTCCTGGGAAGCCCAGACACACTGCTAACCTTCCAGCTCTAACAACAGCGAGGTAAACATGTTCATATCCATCACACACTGAACGGGGAGCTCACTGGTCACCATACCAGCTCTGTCTGGTCATTCAGAGAACTGTGATTCATTACATATTTCAGTATGTAAGGCCCTTATCTGCCTTCCAGGTTGTTCTTGCATTTCAGATTGGCTTTGAATTATTTCAGGATTATTTACAGGACGTGTAAATTTTTATCTTCTCTCTCTTTCAGAAGCCGTCTTTATGCATCTATTCAGTGTTTGACCTTTGCAGCTCCCTGCATACATTATATCTAGACTTTCTGTCTTGTTAAATGTTCCATACATTAGTTTTTGTATATAGGCTGAATGTTTTCCCTATCTTCCATACACAGCCTTGACAGGCTGCTAAGGACATCTCAGATAGCCTATTCTTTCAGTGGCTGGAAAAGATTTTTTCACTTCCACTGTCTGAGGCATATGGACACATCCCTGATTTAAGCAGAAAGGAACTGAGCAGTCCTAGGAGGAAAAACAAGCACAGCCATGGCTGAAATTTCAACATAAGCATTACTGCATTTCTGTTTCTTTGTCTGTTAGCAAAACCAAAGCCGTAGGGAAAGGTCAACTTGACTGTGCTCATAGGTACATTAAAGTTGGGGAAGAAATCTGCATGCAGGTCTCCCCTACCTTTAAATCCAGCAAAACCTCTCTGAGTTCTGACACGTGAGCAATAATGAATGCAAATTTAAAAGGCATTTTTCCACTCACCAAAGGAATTTGCTCCATCGTAACCTGAATATCATTCTTTCTAGTAGTCCAAAGAGTACAGTTTGACCTACACAAATGGGAAAAAGGGAGTTCAGCACATTAGAATCTCCTCCAAAATATTCATAAATCTTGGTAAGAGGTTCAGGACAGTATTTGGAAGTGATTAGCTATCACGAGAATGCCAGCAATTTCAATTTCAGAAAGTAGAAGTACAAACTTTAATACGTAGGACTTAAGAAGTTATACTTATATTCTTGTCTTTCTCTCACGTTTGCAATAACGGGAGCTATTTAAGCGTCTTATGGCACGATTACTCTTATTGCAGGATTTCTTCTAATGTGACTGGTCTTCTCCCCAGCCACACATAACCAAGAGCCCTTGAGATCCCTGTAAGGGATAGATGCACATGTCCAGTACACGCCTCATTTTAACATTGTGTTCAAGAGAAATTCTTCCTGGGAAGGGATTTTTGACCTACCTTAGAAAAATAACAGCATCATCAGTGGTGTTAAGTGAGTCATGAGACTGGAGCCATCTCACCAGGGGCCTGAAGAAATGCATTTTTATCTCACTTGTACACAGCAATGTGTCTCAAAGGATGCCGGATGCAGTTATACAGGCTGGGGACTCAGAAGTGCTAGGACATGAGCACCTCTCCTGTGCCACCAACAGTAAGAAATGGCATCTCAACAACAGTGACTGAAAGATGCAGCTAGGTATGGCTGCCCTTCTAAACCTTCTCTAATGCACTTGTCAACATTTCACACCATTTATTCATCTTTTGGTTTAGGTCACTTTTAAATTCCCCACTCTGGCCCTGGCCAAGGCAAGAGCTGCATAACCTTTGCAAATTTGATGTTTCAGTACAGCTCTACATTTTGAGATTAATAAATGCATCAGATGAGTCAACACCTGCTCTTAAATTTTTCCATTATGAAAATTAACCAAAAAAGTACCTTCTTACTTTTCATCTCCTATTCAGTTTCTGGACCAAAAAAGTGAGCTTTGCACTGTAATCATCTGGTTTCTCAATAGCCTCCCGGAGGCCACATGAAGGACCCTATGTCTATTTATTTTAATTAAGTCAGGTGTCGCTTCTACATCTGCTACTTACATGGCTCAAGAGAGGAGTGGCACAGTTATATTTGTTTGAAAGACATCTTGGTTAGAACTTTCTTAAGACTCTTAACTGTTCTGAGTTAAGGTTTTGTCAGCTTACCAGGTTCAGATGTAAATCTTACAGGTCTTTAAAAAAAAAAAAAAAAAAAAAGGTTGTAAAAGTGATCTGGGAGTTAAAGCACACATTTGTTCCTCTTCAATCACCTAGAACAGTTCATTTTTTAATGGACACCTCCCCCCATACTTTCTTTGTTTGTTTAAGTAGGTTGCCTACTTTGGAAGTCAGCTCTTGGAACTGGAACAACCTGTTGCATTTTCAGAATAGCAAATTTTGACTACTGTCTCCTTATCTTGCACGTCTGTTTCTAGATATCAGCCAGGATCAAGTAAGATACTTGTAGTTCCTCCTAGAAAATAAATTAAGCCCCTTCTTTATGCCATCATCCAGGTCTGTAATGAAAACGCTGAACAGATCTGGTTCCTGCACAAAGTTCTGCAAACTTCATGCACTGCACCTTTCTCCTTTGATAGGGAACAGGAGTAACTCCTCTAACCCTGTTTGTATCTTTTATTTTATAGTTTCATGTGGGGCTTATTTCCCCGTGAGACAGAAAGGAACATCTACTGTATCCTATCCACAGGAATCATTTCTCAGTTTCAGGGGAGAAATTACATCAGCTAGATGTGATTTTTTTTTTTTTTTTTGTGTGTTTCCTCAAGACAAATCCCTTCTGGATGTTTTAATTCTAGGAGCTTACAAGGTAGGATGACTTGCTCCAGCATTTTTCCAATTTTTGAAATAAAGCTTAATAATCTTGAAAAGCTGAGGCAAGCATTTTGTAAGAGGAAAGACAAAACCATGAACAGCTGTACTAGGCATGTTTTGTGGTCCCACTCCTTCATTCCTATCAAGACACACAGAAACAACTGTGCTCTAGCTGCTTTCCAGTTATTCCAGAGAAGAGACACCTGCATATTCGGTAATGGCTTTCTCCTGTCTTAAACGCAATCTCATTGCTGCATCACTTTACGCAAAACTGAAGGCAGTCTCAATACAGAGACACATTCGATAAAGTCATTCTGGCACTCATGGGAAGTTTTTAGGGTATGTAGTCTACCATTTCCTACCAGGATCAAAATATGTGAATAGTTCAATACTCCGTGGCTGGACAAGGATGCTCTTCTATGCCACTGAAGGAAGTTAGAAAAAGGTGCGCATGCAACAAGCCATGACTATGGTGCCATGACACCAAATCAGGGTCAGGGCTTCCTAAAAAGTACAGCATAATCTCTGTTTCTTGATGTTTTGATGTATTATGAATCTATAAAGGAAAACAACATTCATTTATGATTTTTGTATTTCCACATAGTAGGGCTGGAATACAGCCATGCACATACAAGAACGAGCTGACTCACTACTGCCCAGCTTCAGGTGAAGTCATCTATACTCCATGCCAGGTAAGGTATGAAATTGCTAATAAAAATCATACTACAGTATCAGGCTGGTAGCAATCTACATTCACTTCATTCTTAAGGACGCTTTTGTACAACGTGCAATGACTTGTGCTAGAGAAACCTGGACAAATATCAGATTCTCTGTCCGCCCTAAAGCCTTTAGCTTTGAAATCTCCATTTGCTTCAAGCTGCCGAACAAGCTGTGAGAAGAAATCCCTTCATCCTACAGCTCCCTGCTGTGGAGCACACAGCCAGCATAGTTTAGCACAGGGACCTCAGCAGCAGACAAGAGAGAAAGCACGGTTGGGAATAAATTCAGGTTTTTACCTTGCTGTAATGATTTAGTCTAATAGAGGAGCAAAAGTTAGATGAGTAGCTTTCACAAATAAGAAATACATGTTGCTTGTCTATACAAGGTCCAACAGACACGGGACAAATTCTTTTAGATGGATCACTGTGCATCCCATTAAAGCCAAAATCGTTTCCAAAAACATTCAATTGAAAACCTTGTCGAAGCCAATTATTCACTGGTAGCAAGTGTCACACAATAGCTTCTACCTAGCAGTTTAGGACAGGAAGTGGAGACCCCCTTATCCACCTACAGAGGCAGCTAGAAAACTGTTACGCAAAATGGATTTCCAGCCAGGACCATGAATGAATAACTTTACTTAAATAACCTTTACTCTGAGATAAGTGCAACGTTTAATGGCCAATGAGGCAGGTGGGTGTGGTTCCTCTGGTGGCTTCTTCACAGTAGCCTGAGGGAGAAGAGCAATCTTTGGTATTTATCATGTCAGTCCCAATCACGCCATCTCTGCCCTATTCCAGCCATTTTTTAATAGTGCTCACTTACTGTCTTCTTCCAGAATTATTTCTCTACTATTAAAAGCTGAACATCCTCGATATAAACCTTTGAAGCATAACCCGTGGCATTCTCCTGTTATAGACTGATGGCCAGATTAATCCTAATCTCTGTTTATATCCATATAATCTCTAGTTGTCACACTGGGGCTACCCTTGATTTATATGGGCACAACACAGATAAGATCCCAACCAAAAACCTAAACAAGCAATCTATTTTTCTTAATCAGGACAAAACAGAAATAAGATTTTAGGTGGCTAAAGCAATTTAAACAATGAATACATACTTGAAGATTTTTTGTTTTTGTTTTTGTTTTTTAAGAATCTTTTATCACGATCATTGGCAATTGTCTGTGTCCCTGAAGAACCTGTATCAGAAGAATCTTCCCAAACTACATCATTGTCCCTGGGGCCTACTGGGCTTGCATGTGTATTTGAGTCACTTGTGTATTTGCAACACGAGAGGGAAGATTTTCAATGTCATCAGGTTGACCTTTGAAGACTTACATTAAATATTGATGAATTACAAAGCTGGATGTCGAGAATTGGCAAAATCACCTCTAAGTGAAGCATCCAGTGTCTTAGCAATGCAATAAGTATTTGGACATGCTCAATTTGAATAATCAGCTCGTACTGATTTAGGTAAGTCTAGACTTACACAAATTGTTAGGAAGTGACTATCTGCCTGCAGTATTACTGTCAGAAATAGTTGTTCCAATCTAGGAACAAACTAGACAAGATAACAGCACATGCAAGTGTAAGAAAAACTTAAAGAGAAATTTGAGGTTAAGAGAAAAGCATTACTGCTAGCTACATTTCTTTTGCAGATGAATTAGATGAACACTCACTGTTCAGCATGGATAGCAAACTACATGGCAAGCTTTCTTTGCCTTACAGTGCCCGAGAGCCTTCTTGAACTGCAGTGCAAGTTGTTCTCTCAGAGAGATTGCTGACTCCTTTCTTAGCAGAAGGTACCACACACCTCCTAAACCCTGAGAACAGCACATAAACGTAGAGGACAGCATGCAGATGTGGGCACTATGATGGTTCTGTTTCTTAACTGAACATTTGCTCTCCTTCACTGTCCTTGGGCTTTCATGCCTCAGTCCTCACTATTACTGTCAGCATTGTCAGCTCATCTGAGAAAAAGGAAAAACAGTTACGTAGTCTCTGAACACTGCACTTGTATCACCAGCAAGGCACCCACTCTTATCTTTGACCCTTCAGTAACCTTTTCTAGACAAACAGAATAAATTTTGCATGTGTAGTTAACTTCACTTAAAAAATGAAACAAGATGCTAGTTCCAAGAGAGTGAAAGGAGAGTTCTCAAAGTTAATCATATGGGTCGAGTTCAAGGGGTTTGGTATTACAGATTTCGAGATTTCGATTATTGACGTTGAGCATATCCAGAACTGCCTACTATGAAGTTCAGTTTCATACCATACAACTGAATGTTGTATTTTGCACCTGTTCATGAAATTCAATGCTTACAGGACAGAGTTTGCATTATATTTCACCTGTAGCAACTTTCATCTAAATATATACATGAAAGTATTTGTGGTAATGGTAACCTCTTTTTTACTGAACAGGCCAGTGAGAGGAAGTAGCAATGTCCACCTTTTGAAAGGTTC